AAAAAAAAAAAAACACTAAGGAAAAATAATCTCCCTTGTCAATAAGGATTTCTGGGGCTAAGTGCCCTTTAAGAATTTCAAATGTCATGTGTGACCCTGGGAAAGCCTAGTCCCCTTAAGCACACTGGCCATGCTTTTCACACAATCCACTAGGATTAGGGCCCTAGGAGGCTTAAAGTATGCTCCTCTCCAGGTCAAAGCTCCTAATTCACTCCTCAAAATCTCCCCATCAGCCTGCCCTCTCAAATCCTCTCTGTCACCGTCACAAGTTCAGTATTCCAGACCCAGGGTGTGCCAGAAGCCCTGAAATTTCCCACACAGTCACTGCCTTTATCCTTAGTTAGAGGAATTATAACTTGATTCTGCTGAATAGTTACTTCTTCCAGTAGACTGGTATGTCTGTGTGATCCAGTTCTGGCCAGGGAACTATAATCAGTCTGTTTGCTGGCTTCCTGGAACACTGCAACAAGAATTCACCTTTTGCCCTTCTTCCTTCCTATTTCTTCCTGCCTAAAATGTAAGCATGATGGCTAGAGCTCCTGTAGCCTGAGTAACATCTAGGATGGAAGCATCATGCTAAGGAGTGAGACAGAGAGATAGAAGACATGGGATGTGCCATGCAGCCTTACACCACCTAGCTCTCACTTAGGTAAGGCACTGTGGTTAGACTTTTCTGCTGCAAGCAGCTAAATCAAATTCAACATACTGTCTTATCACTTTAGAATGAAGAGCCAGATTTCAAATAAGTTGAAGGGACAGTGGGAGAGAGTAACAGTCAGGACTGCCGAGACTGCTTCGTCTCAACAGTTATACCGATATCACTCTGCTTCCTCCAGATGCATATGGAGGGAGAATAAGGTAGGATCAAAGAGAGCACCAGAGACAGAGATTTCTCTAGGACTTGGACTGTTGCTTTCACACATATTAATCTCCACAACCACCCCAAAGGGAGGCACATTGCCTTCACAGGAAGAGGCTCTGGCAGGGCAGATGACTGGTCCAGCTCGCATCCTTCACATGATAGGACCAAACCACCAGGCCTGCTCTTCCTGCCTCAGAACAAAAGATGTGGTGCTCCTTTCCTCACCTCTGCTCCAAGTTTAAATTCTCTGTGACTTGCCCAGGTTAAACAGAGGGTGGATAGGAGAACAGATGGAGGTTCAAGGGCCCCACTGGAGGCAAACCACTGACCCCTACAGAAATCCTGGCATGAAGCCTGAAATCCAGCATTTGTAAAGATTAAGAAAAGGGGGAAATTATTAAAATTATGGTGAAGGTAAATATTTGACATGGCTATGAAATAATATATAGGGTATATATGTATTTAACTCATATAAAGCTCAATTAATATTTCTGTACTTCTATGGGTTTTATTGATCAATAAGTGTTTTTATTTATTCACTTATTTATTTATGCAAGAAATAAACCTGGTACATATAAACAAAGGTGAGGGGGAATGTGGAAGTGTGAATGTTTTTATTACTATCTGCTTTCTAATTTTCTGAAATGAACATGTATTGCTTTTATAATTAGAAAAAAAGTAAATTATACCTTTCTTTTTTAATTAAAATTTTTTTAATGTTTTATTTATTTCTGAGAGAGAGAGAGAGAGAGAGACAGTGTGAGCAGGGAGAGTCAGAGAGAGAGGGAGACACAGAATCTGAAGCAGGCTCCAGGCTCTGAGCTAGCTGTCAGCATAGAGCCTGACACGGGGCTCAAACCCATGAACCATGTGACCATGACCTGAGCCCAAAGTCAGACGCTTAACTGACTGAGCCACCCAGGCGTCCCTGTACCTTGCATTTTAAAAGGGCATTGTATCTAACATTAAGTACAGACTCTCCCAGTCCAACCAGGACCCCAGCCTCAGCTCCCACTCTTAAGTCCTCTACTGTGCCCTGGTCCCCATGACCCACTCCTAGCCTTTGCCCCTCAGCTCTTGCAGGATTCTGAAACACACCTGGGTGGGTCAATTGAAAACCCAGGGTGACCATGGTCAGAGACCACCCATTTATCTACCCTGAAGGGGACTCACCCCACAAGTGAGATTCTACCAGGATGACCCAGAAAAGAGAGAAGGCTGTTAAAAGTAAACAATAGATCCAAAGTGGAGTCACTTGTGCTAATCTCGTGTGACCAAACAGGGCTTAATACCAAACCTAACTGCAATTTCCATCTTCCCCATCAATGTAATCTTAACCAGTTTGGAATTTCCTGATCAGCACTGATGAGATAATCCAAATAATAAGACCATTTATTCCTCAAAGGAAGGTGACCTTGCCCCCCCTCCAATTTTTTTTTTTTATGACTTCCTTGTCCTGCCCTTAAGAAAACCTTCCCTTTCTGTAGCCCTTTAAGAACTTTCTACTTGCTAGACAGGATGCTGCCTGATCATGAATCAGTCAATAAGGCCAATTAGATCTTTACAATTTTCTTGACTGAACATGTTATTTAAAAACAGCAAAGTCCAAGAGACTGGTAGAGGGGAGACTCATGGAGAGAAGGCAGAAGCTGGTTTTCAGGTACCAGGAGCAGGAGGATAACATGAAGTGGAGGAAGGACTATAGGTCACAGGCAGAGGCAGAAATGCCAAGGCCAACGCAGAGCGGTGGTGGCTTGGTCCAAGCAGCTGCTGGGCCTATACACACACCGCATCCCTGTAAGGACTTCTATAGGCAGCTGAGACGATGCCACTCAGGCAGACCCCCACCTGCATAGCCTGCACTGGCCCTGCCAGTCGGCTACCGGCTGTTTCAGTGAGGGCCCACCTGACAAGGGAGCTGCAATGAGCTGGGTGAACTCTTTGGAATTACCTTTAAATCTTTGAATTCAAGGTTAATCCTGAAACATTTAATACATGGTATTTTGTATTTGGTAACATCCCCAGGAAGATTATGGTTCTTTTTTATTAAGTTTATTTATTTTGAGAGAGAGAAAGCATGAGTAGTGGAGGAGCAGAGAGAGGGAGAGAGGGGGAGAGAGGGAGAGAGAGACAGACAGACAGAGAATCCCAAGCAGGCTCCTCATGGTCAGTGCAGAGCCCGATGTGAGGCTCAAACTCATGAACTGTGAGATCATGACCTGAGCCAAACTCAGACACTTAACCAACTGAGCCACCCAGGTACTCTAGGAGGATCATGATTCTTAATGGATAGCAGCCCTGCACACATGAATCACTCCTGAAGATGACTAGAAGAGGAACAGGACCACGGACCCCTGAAAGTTCTCCTTGCTTCAGGAGAAACCTGAGAAATCAGCCTGTATCTTCAAGAGTGGCATCTCATCTACAGTCTCTCCCAGAAGCCTCCACTGCTCGTGCTACCAGCCCAGGCAGACTGTGCTGCTTGGCCAGAAGTCCAGCCCCATCTACCACTGTGGGACTTGAGACTAGAGTACAATGGAGCCTGAGGAGACATGCTTAGAGGAAGGCAGTAAAGGAAGGAAAGGGAACAGTCTAGTATTAGGTGATAGTTAACAGCATAGGCCCCAGTCAAATCCACCACTCCACCCCGACCAGTTGGGTGACTTGGAGCAAGGGAATCTCTATGTGCCCATTTCATCACCTCTAAAACAGGAGTTCTTCCCACCCACAATTGCTTTGAGGATTAAATGACTTGATATTAATCACAGAGCGATCAGAACAAGCTGCTTGGTGAGTAACTGTTTAATACATTTAGTGCTAAGAACATGGAGTTTGACAGCCAACATGCTGTGTCAGGCAGGATCCGGTGCTGCACTGGTCCTCTTTTCCTATCTGCAAATCATGGATAATGAGCAGCTCTCTACCCCAAAACAGGGTTATATAATCTATCTAGGAGCACATGGTAAGATAAAACTAGTTCTACAAACATCTGAAAGTTTAAAATGAATGTCTGACCCTGGTTGCCATAGCACACTCCTGGTCTTAGGAAAGACCAGGCTGGAGTTGCTCTCTTTGTGCCCAGGTGACCCTACTCACTCCACAGCTCACATGTGAAGCTCCAGAGTTAGCAAAGTCACCTACTCAGGTTTTCAAACTCACTAATGAGTAATTAACAAAAATACTGGAGAACAGAAACTCTCAGAATGTATTACGCATAAGTTTCAGGAAACGTTTACCAGTTAGTGATACATGTGTGTTGGAGGTGGCAGTAAAAGACATTCTCACTGGGATCATGGTCAGGACTCTTGAGTGCCACTGTCAGAGCTTACCTGGTATCGGCTCTGTGATCCGGAGTTCAGGGTCAGGAGGATGCCCGGCAAATGCATGCTCCCAGAGGGGTACCCAGCACACAGCACCCACTGTCAGGGACTGCCAGCGTTCTCTCAAGCCAGGCCTTCAGGCTGACAGCAAGCCCAAAACCACCAAAGGTTCACAGCCCAATCCAGATATTAGCAGCAAGGGGACAGTAGCCTCAGACCCTCTCCACCTCCATGCCTGGCCTTTCTTTCACACCCAGCCCTCCCACAGCTCTTGTTGTCCAGTCATCTGCTTTCCTTCCTTTAGCTGATCCACTTCCTCTTGCCCAACCAGCCCTTCCCTCAGTCCCTGTTTTCCCTTCTTTTTCCTCCTTCTAGTCTTCACCTCTCCACCCCCTCCTCCTGTTCTAGGACACATAAACACACATACACAGGTTTTTTTGGACAATTCAGCCTTTATTTTTGAAAATAATTCTGTAGCTTCAACTTTCTTCCAAGAACTGAGGTCAGGCCAGAGGCAAAAACACACACATTGCTCTCCAACCTGCCATCCTCATCCTAATCTGATCAGACAAGGGAATGCTCCGGGGACGGGGGAGGAAGCAGGAGCCATCTGTTTTGGCTGTTCTACCTCACCCTGGGAAGGCCACCAGAAGCCACCACCTTTAGGGAGGAGCCTGTGCACCAAACCCAAGGGGGAAAGGACACAAGGACCTAATGTCTCTTCCACAAAGCCGGCATGAAACCTCCTAGAGCAACAAGGGATCAATTTTTAAAAAGACCAGGACCAGGACCAGAGTCTGTTTCTTTGAGGCAAGATGAGGGAGGTATGTCCCAGCACACCAAGGCTTCCCCTACCACCTTTACCCCAACTTCTGCAGATGAACTGAGAAGTCTTGCTTTCTCCTTTCATGTTCTCAAATTAGAATCACAAACTGCTAAGCTGCAAGGAGAGAAGAGCAGAGAGGAGGTCAGGGATAAGAAGAAGGGTAGAAGAGAAGTATGAACAGGTGGCAGTAAACCCTGAAAGCCTAACAGCTCCATCCAGACTTTGATGATGAAACCCCTTTGGTTAGTCTCACTTTGGCCACAGATAAGTCCCCTTTTCAAATAACCCAGCAACCCCTCAAATTGGGGGACAGTAGGGGTGGGGAGCAGGTATAGGAGGTGAGCTCACACCCTGGCTGGAAGACCCGGGACAGGGGAAAGAGAGCTGGTCAAGAGAGCTGAAGTTGCTGACCTCTCTGCAGATGCTCTAGGAGAAAACCTGGAACATGGAAGTCTGTCTCCAACACGCCCAAGTGTTTCCCTACCACACAGTGGTTTCTTGCTTAATACGCCCAACATACCCCAGGAAATTTCCCCTGATTTAACCTTCTTGAGAATGGGAGAAAACCCTCATCTTATCCTGTGCTCTTGAATGCAATTCAAAAAAAGAAAGAAGAAAAAAAAAAAGATAAATGTACCCAAGAGAGATACACAGAGAGGGCAATGGAGTCCAAGGACACAGTCCCATCTCAACCCATGATATGGGAAGGAAGGAGCCCAGGAGGGACAGGCAGGCACCACTAATTCCAGCTAGGATCATAGCCATCCCAGGTCTGTGGAGGGGCCAAGTGGACACGGCGGCCCCGGAACAGGAAGCTGACGATGCCCCGGTAGCCAGCCCTAGGGACACCAGACTTGAGGTCATCCATGACGCCCAGGGCCTTGGCAAAGGCCTTGAAGCTGTCCCTGCCCGTGTACTGCACCCGCACCTCCCCCAGTTCATTCTGCTCACTGGTCCTCACTTTCTCCACCTGCAGCAGGGGAGCCCCATAGACACGGGCAAGGAAATCTCGGTCATAGGTCTCCTGCCGCAGATATGACAGGTCCAGCTGGGTGAAGGGCACGAAGTGCTGGTTCAGCTTGATGAACTTGAGGTGCTGGTCAAAGAACTGTCCGTGGCTCACACCCTTGCGGCCAAAGGTCATCGTTCTGGAGATTTCAGGTCGCACGCAGGCCCGGCCCTGCCGCTGCTCAGGCCTGCGCATCCAGTCGTCCCAGAAGGCCCTGGGCCACTTAGGCTCCAGCTCAGCCCAGAGCTCAGCCAAGAGCAGCCAGCCCAGGCCAGGAAAGAAGTCTGTGCGGTAGAGCAGCTCTGGCTTGCTCGAGTCCACCATCTGTTCCTTGCCATTGTCATTCCAGGCAGACACACACCAGAGGGAGGGGTCAGCCCTCAGCAGCGGGTAGGTGGCCTGGAAGTACTCGAAGAAGTCCGGTGCCACCTCCAGGTCATCCTCCACCACCACAGCCGCTGGGAACTTGAACCTATGGAAGACCTGTCCCAGTGCCCAGCGGTAGTGCCGTGCAATCTTGTAGTAGCCCTGGAACTTGCGGTGGTCAGGGGGCACAGCAATGTTGCTCAGGTCGGGCTGCCGGATATGTGTGACAGCACTGCCATAGGAGGCTATGACCTGGGCTGTCTCCTCGTGCCCGCAGTCCTGGCTGACAATTATGGGGAAGTGCTCAGCTGAGGGCCGGTAATGCAGCAGCTTGTCCAGGCAGCGCCGGACAGTGCTACGGTCACAGGCAATGACCAAGATAGGGATCACGGCTGGTGGTGAGGATACAGGCACACGTGGTGGGACGGGTGGGGCAGCAGTGGGCACCCTCCACCTCTGGCTCCACCGAACATGATGCTCCCTGATCTGCTGCAGCAGCCCCCTCTGCCGCTCCAACTCCACCTGCGCATCCTCGGCCAGGCGGATCACCTCCCGGGTGAGGCTGGCGGGGTCATCATCCAGAGAACTGTCAGAAGGCAGCCTGCCAGGCGCTGGGCGTGTCCAGAAGAAAAGCAGCAGCAGGGCATTCCAGGCCACAAAGAGGATGGCGCCCCACAGCACAAGCCCTGCAGACTGCTTCTTCAGCATCCTGGCCCCCGAGGGGGTGGCAGGCAAGGGTGGGGCTCAAGGCTGCCCTTGGCTTGCCTAGTTCACTTCCACAGCTCTAGGGATGCTTTTTCTGGGCCTCGGGATTCAGAGGAAGCAGCCATGCACCTGAGAAGACAGAGAAAACCAATCTTCATCACAAACGCATGGGGCTGTCCTAGGGGGGAGAATGGGGGATGGGAGAGGAGGGAGGCCAGGAGGTGGACCCCTGAGCTCTCTTAGAAAAGAGCTGCCATCTCCTAATCTGGGATGAATGGGACAGGACAACATACTCTCCTCACTCCAAAAGGAGTCCTCAGAAAAGCAATATGGTTTGAAGGGAAAGTAGAGAGTGATGTTGTCAAAGAGGAACCAAGGGAACGCCACTCTCCCTTCAATACCTGGCATCTTCCATCTTCCAGAGTTTAGGGGCAGGGGTAGAGGTGAGACCATCTGCCTCTCATTCCTCAAATCAAAATGCTCAAAGATTACTGATTTAAAAACTCTAATATCACACCTCTGGACTAGAGTCAACACCCTATATATATGACTAACATTAGAGGAATCAGCCAGTGTGAATGGGCTACAGAAGAAAAAGGCAAAGGTGGAAAAAGAAGCATGACTATTTCTATTTATTGATACTGTAAGAATATGCCTGGAAAACTAAGAAAATGAATGATAAAACCACCCCAAACAACTGAAGAACTGAGCAAAATAGCAGGGTATAAAAATAAACATGCAAAAACCAAAACTTCAGATCCACAAATAATAACTCATTAGAAGAAACAATGGATGAGAAAACTCTATTTACAATAGCCATGAAAATAATAAACTAATCAAGAAACCTACATGAACAAGATGATAGGTCCTGAATGACACAAGAGGATTTAAATATTCCTTGTTCTTAGTTATGACACCTCAACATCATCAAAAATCTGAGTAAAAATAAATTTTCTAGGAGCCAGACAAACTGACACTAAACTTCATATGAAAAAAAGTAAACATAACAAGGTCATTTAGAAAATAATGAAAATGAGGTATAAAGAGGGATTAGCCCTACCAGCCATTTAAATATTACATATTACAAAGCTTCTATAATTAGAACTATGTGATGCTAGTAGGTAAATAGATTATCCAAAGGAATACAATTTAAACTACAGAAATAGACCCCAAAACATGTGGAAACCTAATATATGATGCAGGTGATATTTAAAATTACTGGGACACTACAGGGCAATGGGAAAGAATGAAATCTGGCCATGTGTAGCAACATGGATGAACCTTGAGGGGGTTATGCTGAGCGAAATAAGTCAGGCAGTAAAGGACAAATACCATATGTTTGCACATATAGGAGGATTAGGAGGAACTTAATGGAGGATCATGGGGGAGAAGAAGGGGTAAATGGTGGGGGAAAGGGAGAGAGGCAAACCATGAAAGACTCTTGAATGCTGAGAACAAACTAAGGACTGATGGGTGTTGGGGGGGAGGGGGGAGATGGGCATGGAGGAGGGCACTTGTGGGGATGAGCACTGGGTGTTATATAGAAACCAACTTGACAAACTATTTGTAAAAAATAATAATAATAATAATAAAATTACTAGGCCAATGTGTAGCAACATGGATGGACCTTGAGGGTGTTATGCTGAGTGAAATGAGTCAGGCAGGCAGAGACAAATACCATATGTTTGCATGTATAGGAGGATTAGGAGGAACTTAATGGAGGACTGTGAGGGAGAAGAAGGGGGGAAACAGTGGGGGAGGGGGAGAGAGGCAAACCATAAGACTCTTGAATGTCCAGAACAAACTGAGGACTGATGGGTGTTGGGGAGGGGGGGGGGTGATGGGTATGGAGGAGGGCACTTGTGGGGATGAGGACTGGGTGTTGTATGGAAACCAACTTGACAATAAACTATTTGTAAAAAAAAATAAAAAATAAAAAAAATAAAATTACTAAGCCAAAAAAAATGTCTTATTAAGAGTGTTGTAACAACTCTGTAGCTACTTGGAAAAATAAAATTACATCTGTGCAAAATAATAACTTCCAAATGGATTAGAGATATAAATATAAAAAATAGAACTATACAAGTGCTAGAAGAAAATAAGGGTCAATTCCTTTATAACCTTGGTACAGGGAAAGTATGATTCGAAATCAGGATGTAGTAATAAAACATTTCTGCATGATAAAAACACCATTAACCAAGTCAAAAGACAAACTGGAGAAGAATATTTGCAGTATACATACAAATATACAAATAAAAAGCCAATACCCTGAAGAGACAAAGAACTTTTAAACTGAGGAGGTAAAAAGTCAAAACTCTTTGTCTTTAAGACAAGGGCAACTCACAAAAAGATACTGAAATGGTCCTTACACATATGAAAAGATATTCAAGTTCACTTATAACAAGAAAAATGCAAATTAAACTATACCAAGAATTTCTCACCCATTAGACACAAAAATTCAAACCCTTGTCCTAATCTCTACTGTCAGTTGAAAAACACAAGTTCAGGGCACCTGGGTGGCTCAGTCGGTTGAGCGTCCGACTTCAGTTCAGGTCATGATCTCTGGGTTCGTGGGTTCCAGCCCCGCATCCAGCTCTGTGCTGACAGCTCAGAGCCTGGAGGCTGTTTCGGATTCTGTGTCTCCCTCTCTCTCTGCCCCTCCCCTCCTCACGCTATCTCTCTCTCTCTCTCTCAGAAATAAATAAAACATTAAAAAAAAATCCCACAAGTTCTTAACTTTAATGATACTTAGTTATCAGGGGTTTTTATCTTTTGTGGATTATGCTATTGGCATTGTATCTAAGAAATCTTTGCACAAACCAAAAGTATCTTTCCCTATGTTTTCTTTTTTAGGTTTTATAGTTTTAGGTTTTACATTTAGGTTTATGGTTCATTTTGAGTTAATTTTTTAATATGGTGTGAGGTATGGAACTAATGTCCTTTTATAGCATTCTGGCAGTTTGTTAAAATGCTAAACAGAAGAGTAACCATACCACCAAGTCCACTCTTAGACACAGAGTCAAGAGAAATAAAAACACATGTCCATACAGAAATTATCTGGAATGTTTATGCAGCTTTATTCATAATCACCAAAAACTGAGTAAACCCCAAAGGCTCATCAGCAGAAGGATATGGATAAATAAATTGTGGCTTACCTGAATAATGGAATAATATGCAATAAGAAGGAATAAACTACTGATACACATAACACATGAATGTTAATGTTAACACATGAATGTGTTGTATCAGTAGTGATATGTGATAACTATGTGATATGTGAATGACCAAAAAAAAGAGCACATACATTGATTCTACTTATATAAATCTCAAGAAAATATAAAGTAATCTGTAGTGGCAGAAAGCAGATCAGTGGTTGCCTAGGCATGGAGGCAGTGAGGACACTGAGGGGAGGGATCACAAAGGAACAACAGGAAACTTTGGGGGCATGGATGTAGTTACTCTATGTCATTTATATCTCAATAAAACATTTTCTTTATTCTTTAAAGATTTTTAAAGTTTTTTAATGTTTATTTATTATTGACAGACAAAGAGAGACAGAGCATGAGCAGGGGAGAGGCAGAGAGAAAGAGAGACACAGAATCCGAAGCAGGCTCCAGGCTCTGAGCTGTCAGCACAGAGCCCTGTGTGGGGCTCGAACTCACAAACTGCGAGATAACGACCTGAGCAGAGTCAGACACTTAACTGACTGAGCCACCCAGGAACCCCTTTCCTTAAAAAAAAAAAAAAAAAAAAAAAAAAAAATAGACAGATTATTGGGTTAAATGACAAAATTGGAATATAGACAGTTAAAGTATCAGTGTTGACAGACTGATAGCCACACTGTGCTTATGGAAAATAATACCCCAATTCTTAGGTAATTTAGACTGAAGTAATTAGGAGTAGAGAGACAAGATAGATTCAACTTCTCAAATGGTTCACAACAAAAATATCACATACAGAGAGAGAGAGAGAGAGAGAGAGAACACGCCCAAATGCATCAAAATGCTAGTAGGTGAATCTGAGTAAAGGGACTAAGAGTGGCCTTATACCATTTTAACTTTTGCACCTTTTTTTAAGTTTGAAATTATTTCCAAATAAAGTTTCTTAAAATCGTTATGAGGACATGGCCCACAGGTCTGACTAGCTTTGTCCAATATGGCCCAAGTTAGGCACATCAGTAGGGGCAACTGAAATAATCCCTTTGTCCTTAACTCCGTAGTCATTCAATGACATGCATCGTACACCTGCTGTCTGCCAGGCTCTGGAAAGGGACTGGGACACGCATCTTACAAAAAAAAGCACGGTTCCACCAACCCTCTCACTCTACCAGAACCCACTATTTGAAAGAATCTACCACACCCTCCAATTCCCAGACAGCTGCCATTATGGACCATGCAACTCTGTCCCTAGCCTTCCCACTTCTGGTCTACACCCTTCACACTCTAAAGCTTCAGGTATGTGCCCTCTTGTGCCCTACTGCTCTGCCAGTTAGCCTCTGCCTCACAGCTATCAAAATCTCAGATTCCAGATCTCATTTCTGCACTTCTGGGCTCTTAAGCAGGCAGGTGCACTGTTAAAGGACCAAAGTATTGATCCTGAAAGGTCTCTAAAGGAACCTAGATTCTGTTTTCCTCCTGGGGGGACTACCCCAGCCCCTGCCAGCACCACCACCACATGCTGTGCTCTGAGAAACCACCCATCCCCACAACTCCAGAGCACCAGTCTTCTCAGAGCACTCAGGTCCATTTCCGTTTTATTGTACATGTTGTCATGCTCATATACAAATCAGGGTTTCCTCGAAGAGAGAGACCACAGATTTCCAGTTTCTTCTTCGCTGCTCCTTCCAATGCAGTCCATGTTGGGAAGTTGGAACTTTCCCTCCAATCTCATGGCCAGGATTCCCTATCCCCAAATTCCTGCCTCCGAACTGATCGGGCAGGAAAAGTTTTTAGATAAAGGAATGGAGGAAGGAAAAGAGACTGAATTCCATCATTTGAAATGCTGCCTCAAGGCTGGAGGAGCAGACCCATCTCTGACTTATCCATGAGCCACCTCAGACCAGCAAGCTCTTGGACTGGTGGCAAAACCCCAAGGGATGCCATCCTCAAAACCCTGCAGATGACATGTAAAAGTCTTCACTCTTCTCCAGACATTGGGAATTAGGTGGCCCACATCCACTTCCAGAGGTCTCCCCTCACCTATCCTTCTAAGCCTTACAGATCAAAGCAGTTTTCACAGTCCCTCAGAGGACTGGATTCTTACCAAATCTATAAACATTAAGAGTGGCTGGAGAGCCCACAGAAAACAGCTGTCCCACCCCAGTCCAGGGCTCTATCTTAGCACTTAGGCCTTAGTTCACAGACCATGACCATTTTTTCTAAATTGTGAAATAGAACTTGTTCCTCTTTCCAAAAGAGAACACAATACTCCTATTCCCAGGAACCACTGCTTCTCTACACACTCATCCAGAGTCCCAGAGCAGTTTCCTACTGCTTCCCCACATACTGTCCAGGACAGGATCCTCTGCTCTATATGGAAGTTAATGAACGGTGTGTGTATACACAAGCACCTGCACTCCCCAGCAGCTGGCTGGGCCTGAGGGTTGAAAAAGCCCCAAAGGCCAGCCCAGCCTTTAGCCAGCAAGCCCACACACTCATCCAGGAAGTGCTGCTCTCAGTCCTACCATCAGGAGTAACAAGGGCAAGCCAAACAGCTCAGGGCAATGTGTGGCACCACCCCACGTTTTTTCACATCTCTAAAACTCAATCTTCTTATCTCTAAGATGGAAATAGTAATAATAAGATGGAAATCAATCACTGGGTTGCCATAAGGACTGGGTGAGATAAACAAATCTGCATCAAGTATTTAGAACAGTGCCCAGCTGTGACATAAATGCTAGCCAGTTATTCCTCTGTTCCCTCTCTAGCTGGCTGGCTCTCTTTACTCCACTCTACTACATTTTTCTGGGCTACAAACATCTAAGCTTGCCTCAGGGCCTTTGCAAATGCCTGTATGACTGGTCTGATCTTCCTTTTCTCCTTCACTTGGTGTGTTCTGACTCATGTCTCTGCCAGGGAAGGTTGGTCAGACAATATGAAGTCTACCACCCCTTCACAATCATTGACATCAGTGCAACCTCTTAAGATCTGTCAAGTTCCCTCAGCTACAAGATATTCAAGGATGGGACCAGCTCCCCAACCGGAGCCAAGGCTGTGCTAGCATCTCTGACCATCAAGAGATTTGCCAATGACCTAAAAAGTGAATTTTGTGTGGATGTCACTCACCCACAATTCCTTAACTGCTATTCCCAAGCCCAAAAAGCATTGAAAAATTGAAGTTTTCTACACTCATGTGGCAGTAAAATCTTTGTTGAAATCTGATGTGATCTAATGTAAGACTATTGCATTTCTTTATCCCATTTAGTGAGGCTATTTATACATTTTGCCACAGAAATGTTGGATTATGGTATGCTGTTCCACATTTTATACTACATCATAAATGCATATCATCTTTTTTAAAATCCACAAAAAAAAAATCCTGAATTCTGAAACATATCCAGCCCAAGCATTTCAGAATTAAAAAATGTAAGAGACACTCATTCACTGCCATAGTTCCATTTCAAGCCCACAGACCCTTTAAATTGAACCCTCTTTCCTTATGAAATACTGTTTTAAGCCCAAACTCTTGATATAGCTTCTCAGTTAGTCTACCCATTGCTAATCTCACTTCCCTCTAAGCAACCTTCCAAAAACAGAGCATCCTTCTTAAAGTGAACACCTGGTTACAACACTAACTTGCCTCAAAAACCATCAGAAGCTACCCCTACCCACAGAATAAAACTCAAATTCATTATGACATGCAAGGCCTTCACAATAAATTAACTCAAACATCCTTTTTTCAATCTCACCTCCAACCCCTAACCCTATGAACCCCACACCCGGCTTTAGGGTGCCACTTATTTCCCTCAAAGAGTACACTTGTATGCTGTTGCAGTCTTTGCTCCACCTGTTCTTCATCCTGAAACATTACCTATGGCCCCACTGCAAGCACACATCCATAACATCCCAGGCAGAGCCAGCCAGGCTTTCCCACAACTACACTCACACCACATTCTCTCCACACCTTCTGTTTCTCCCCTCCACACTGTAATAGAATCTGTGGCTGTGCTTACAGGTCTCTCACCTTACTCCTTAGGAAGAAGTCTCTATGACCTCTAAGCCTATTACAATGCTTGTATATTGTATATACAATTGTATATATATGTATATTGTATATTGTATATACATGCTTATGTATACATGCTTCACATGTATGAAGTTCAAGTGGTTAGATGGAGGACTGCTTGCATTATTAGCTAAATTGGGGAAAAAGAAGACCAAACCAGCAGCACAAGAGTGAAGGATTACATTTTCCAAAGATGATCACCACAAATCTCATGCTCTTCTTACAAAAGCTATAATGCCATTCCTCCTACTAGAGGTGGGGGAGGTGGGGTCTATGTTCCCTCTGTTTGATCTGTGACTATGGAGGAAGAACCATACATGATTTGCAAAACTTTCATACATGAAAGGCAATACAGTTTCCACCTGTTGCTCTTGAAATGTCTGCTCTTTGAATGCAGCCACAATGGTTAGAGGAAGCCCAAGCCACATGGACACTCCAGCTCACAACCCAAACTAAAGTTTTAGCTGACAGCAAGTATCAACTACTAGGTAGATATGGGAGGAAGCCTTTCAGATGATCCCAGCCCTAGCCACATCTGACTTCAACTGCATAAAAGACCATGAGCAAGAACCACATAGCTAATATAGGAATAAAATGATTCTGTTGTTTTAAGCCTTAAAATTTTGACATGATTTGTCATATAGCAAGAAGTACCTGAAATAATGAGTAAAAGAGAATCTAAATAGCCTTGATAAGCACGGTCAAGTGTTCCTCCTGTCCTCTGTGCTCTTGCCCCAAGTCCAAAATCTAAGGGCTTGCCTCAACTCATATTCCTTTCCTTATTGGTAGCTATTGTTGAATAAAAACATTTTTTTTAATGTTTTATTTATTTCTGAGAGAGAGAGAGAGAGAGCACAAGAGTGTGAGCAAGGGAGGGACAGAGAGAGAGGGAGATACAGAATCTGAAGCAGGCTCCAGGCTCTGAGGTAGCTGTCAACACAGAGCCCAACACGGGGCTCGAACCCACAGAGTCGTGAGATCATGACCTGAGCCGAAGTCGGACACTTAACCGACTGAGCCACCCAGACACCCCTGAATAAATACATTTAATGGCTTAAATCAATAGCCATAATTTACTCTCTCTCACAGTTTCAACAGGTCAGGAATTTGGACAGTGAAGGACAGAGAGATGACCTGTCTCTACTCCAAGATGTCTGGGACCTCAACTGGAAGATTAAAAAATATGGGGGCTAGACTCCCACTTAAAGGCTGTCATATGTCTGCAGGTTGACGTTAGCATGCTTAGCTGAAGTGCTGGCTGCAACACCTCCACGTGGCCTCTTCATGTGGCCTGGGTTTCCTCTGAACTTAATGGCTGGGTTCCAAAGATGAGTGTTCCAAGAAAGAGAGAGTAACCAGGTGAGGCTGTATCCTTTTCATGATCCAGCCTTGGATCACTTCTGCCTTATTAATGACATTTGCCTGCAAGGAATCCTGAGTGCCTGCACACTCAAAGGGAGAAAACCACAGATCCCACCACTGTTGGATAGAGAATAAAGTCCAATTGTAATAAGTGGAATGGGATATTTATGGAGTGACCATTTTGGGAAAATACAACCTTCCTTTTCTAAAATAGAACAATAGTCCTTAACCCTGACCCAAGTTCCTGAGGTTCTGTTATTAATGACATTGCCTGAAAGGCACAGAATTCAAAACTAGTTTTGATTTGCTAGAGTTTTTACACTCCTTTAGCCAAATGACACAGCTTATCCCTACCACCAAATACAAAGACATCTGCACTGTGGTGGAAGATGAGGAGTGAGCATTTTGGGTATATAAAACCCTCAGCCAAAACCCTCAGGAGACTATGAGAAGGTCCCACTAACCCCTGTGGGTCTATTTCTTCCACTGAAGGACTGTCTGGAAGCTGTAAGATCCCTTTCTAACACTCTGATTCTATGGTATTCTGCACCCAGTCCCTGATCTCTGGCAAAAAAAAAAAAAAAAAAAAAAAAAAATTTAATTTTTAACGTTTTATTTCTGAGAAAGAGAGAGAGAGAGAGAGAGAGAGAGAGCGAGAGCAAACAGGGGAGGATCAAAGAGAGAGGGAGACACAGAATCTGAAGCAGGCTCCAGGCTCTGAGCTGTCAGCACTGAGCCCGATGCAGGGCCTGAACCCACGAACTGTGAGATCATGACCTGAGCCGAAGTTGGACGTTTAACCAACTGAGCTCCCCAGGCGTCCCTGGCAAATAAATTTTTTAAACAGCAGAACACCAGATAGTCAACTTCTCTTTGTGAGCAATAATGGAGAAGTCATACTTAGATTAAAATAACTATGGAAGTTGAAAGAATGTTGACAGGCTTTCCCATCTTGTCTTGCTTAGTATGCTAAAAAGGACTGCCTAAAAAATCCAAAGGATAGAATACACCACAAATATGGAGACCTAACTGAATGACTTTCTTGTTCACTATGAGGCCTCTGCTAGACTCCTGCATCACGTATAAGGCTCCATAATTTCACAAGAAATGAAAAGAAGTCAGAGAAGATACACTAAATAATTCAAGAGCTTAGAGAAGAAGACCTAGGAGGAAGGGGTGCAGGTTATTCATCCTGAAAAAGAAAACACTAAAAGGAAGTATGATGTTGGTGTAGCAAAAAGCACGAGGGCCTGGGAAACCAGGTAACCTTGAGCAAGTCACTTGACCCACTTGTGCCTTGGTTCCCATATTTGAAAACGGATAGAATTGATTTGGATCTTCTCCACGTTCCCTGGTTTCTAGTGATGAAAAGGACAATGACAAGTTCCCCAATGTCCCAAACAGGAAATGGGTTTAACCTGTCACATATGCCATCCGAGGTTAAACATAACTACAATGCTTACTAACTCTGAGAGAAGGACGCAGAAGCAGGAATCCAGGAGAGCTCAATGGTCTCCAATAATGGGGTCAGACAGGGGTGATTCACAATGAGAGGCCAACTCAGGGTATGTAAGCATCTAAGAGAAAAAAGGCTCCTTGGTCTGAAAACTATTACGAACGACATAAAATAAAGCTGGATCACTCTTGCGGGGATGACCTAAAGCAAAGAGTAATTAAACCCGCCACAAGAGCAAGGGTTAGCCACGGTGGGGCCTCACCCTGGAGCTTACCGTTCAGTATAAACACAGGGCCCCTCTGCTCCATAGGCCCCAACTCCACACACGTTAGCTAACAGGAGGAAAAAGTTTTCTTTCCAGTTTACGTAGTTTCACATTGTGTCAATTCTTCCTGGAGGCTGAGGAGAAAGAAACCTAGTAACTAGAGAAAAGGACGCTGGGCGGGTTTTGGGGAAAGGCCACCTCCCACTGCCGCTCCCCAAACCCTCCGCAACAACCCTACCCTCTCTGGCCGCGCACCCACGCAGCGCCCTAAGGAGAAGTTTCACAACGGCCTCCCTCCCGCCAGCCCGCCCGACGTCCCTCCAACAGCTGGAGGCCCGGGATTCCGAGAGCAGAAGGAGGAGTTCGACTTCCCGGCGAGGGAGGGGTGCGCGGCCGGAACCGGGGCAGACCGGGCCAAGTCTTCTAGGAGGCTCCCGGGCAGGGAGCCCGGCCTCTCTGGGCTGTCGGGAGACACGAAGTGCTCGGAGAGGGGCAGCTTCTCAAGCCGGGACCTGAACCCCTGGAAATGCCCTCTCCGCTCCCGCGGGGCCTCCGTCAGCTGGACCCTCATGCCCTCCCTGGGACAAGCCTCAGAGCGTACGGACGCCGACGTTTCAGGCCGCTACTCACCAGGTCCTTCCAACTTCCCGGCCGTGAGCCTGGACCGCCCCGGGGCGCGGGAACAAGCCCGGTGCCCCGGCGCGTTCCAGGCGCTCCCGCGGATGCCGGCGCCTTCCTCCCAGCTGGCCCTTCCTACAGGCGCCGGACCCGCCCGCCCGGTTAGCAACGTGGCCCTTCCCCGGGAAGGGCGGGACGGGGAGGGCCGAGGGGAGGGACCGGCCGCCTCACTCGCCAGGGGCCCCTTCTTCCCGGGCCCGCCTCCTCCGCCCGACTCTTAGTAATTATACTGGGTTTCCTCTGAACTTGATGGCTGAGTACGCCAAGTTTTCCGAGGTTCTGAACTTCAGGAGGCTCTGTGTTGGCATCTGTTACCACAGGGCCCTTCCCTACTCCCAATCGCAATCCCCTGGGTCTGATACCCGACCCCACCCACACCTTCAAACCCCTCCAGTGGAGACGTCTCGAGTCTTCCCCTTGCCAGCCCCTGGGCCTGGAGGGTCATGGAGTTGATGGGGAAAGCCCGGCTGACGCAGGCCGGGCACCCCTTAGGTGCATTCACCAAATCCAAGGCCAAGGGTCTGGGGCCAGCTCTCAGCAACCTGCTCAACACTAGCTTCCGGGAAGAAGAAGTCGGAGGCAATAGGCCACAGGGCGCAAGGCTGTGAGAACAAAAACCAGTATGCCAAAAAGGAAGCCAGAGAGGAAACACCTGCTGCCAAAAGCAGAAGAGGGCCAGCTGTTGTTTGTTTTCTAACATTTTGTTGTTTTTTTTCCTTTCGAGGTGGGGGAATGAGAGCTGTTCGTTCTGAGTAGAAGAGCAAAGACAGACTTGTCCTTGGGGTAAGAACCATCAGACCTAAGGAGTAAAGGACTTAATCACAGGATTTTGTGGTAGCCCTGTGAAAGGGGTGAGGGACTACCCTGGAAGAGCCTTTAATGTCTGTATCTGACCCTGGAAAGTGAGGGTGGGGAACTAAGAACTACTGGCCACTCAAGCACATGACTTTTCTGAAAAGGACTAAGTCCAGGGCAGCCCTATCATCTGACCAGGACACACTCTGCAGGCAACAGGCCCTTCCTCCAACCACTTCCTTCCTATGTTCCAGAGCACACAGCAGGCAGGAACTGAGCAGTGTGTGTGGTTACTGACTGATTTTGCTCACTAACTTGTTTCTACATGAAACCAGGAATTACCAGGGTTCTAGAGAAACAACAAGGCGGGGCATGCCCTAAAGGCACCCCCTGCCTGGGGCTGAGGAAATAAACCAACTGCACAGAGGCCTCCACATGCATGACCCTTCCAGCAGCTCTGAAGCGTGTACATTAATCATTCCATTCTATAGATCAGGAGTGTGAATCTTAAGGGTAAGTGCCAACCGGCTGACAGTCACAAGACCTAGTGAGGGGCATGGCCAGGTTTTAGACCTAGGCATCCTTGCCTCCAAAGCTGGCACTCATTCCTTCCTCTCATGCTCCATTGCTCTGAGATGGCTGTGTGTCCAACATGACAAGTGCACAGTGGGGCAGGAGGGAATTCCTGGTAGAACCAGTTGGAGCCTAGCCTGAAGGAGCAAAGTGAGAAAAGAGCTGACACCTCAGAGGCTGGACACATACGTGTGTGTGTGTGTGTGTATGTCTAAGCTTTCCAGCTGAGCTGATTTTATGGACCATGGTAGGAAATGCAAGCCCATGCCCATGTGCCAGCCAGCAGCCACTGTCTCTGCATCTCTGCCCTCTCTTTTTACTTTCCTCATGAAGGGAGTTGGGGGATATGGAAGGCCTACACACTCACACTCCATGTCAAAGAAAGAAGGAAAAGGATAATTCCTAAAAGTGTAAAAAGTTGGGAAACACTGGTTTACAGATCCAAGATATCAGAAGCTAAAATCACCCTCCAGGACGAAGGACATAGTGGGATGCTGAAAGGTAGAGCAGACCAACCAGTCCATGAGATGTCACATTCCCACCTCTAACAAGAATTCTTCTTTATCTAAGGCAGTTCAATGGGGAAAAGGATGGGGAACTGTTTGTACACCATAGCTCTCACTCAATGACTACTGTCCTTTGTTGAAATTCCAAGGCTCACAGGAAGATCCTAGGGTAGAAATTCCACTGCGAAAGGACTGTCTCAAGCAGAAAGAGCCTAGTTAGAGAACTGGGATGGGCTGAATTCTTGGATGGAAGTAAGAGAAAACATTTGGTATGAGAGGCAAGAAGCCAGGGTGGTAAATGCCAAGTTGACCTGGGAAGAGAGGCCCAGGGCTTTTGATGGACATTTCATGAGGAGGTACTATGAGGAAGATAAAGGGCAGAAATAAGGAGATAGGTGCCTGGATTCTGGGAATGAAAATGAGATTTGAATATCTGAAAATGGAAGAAATCAGAAAATCCGGTCACAGGATTAGAGTTAGAAGGGAAAATACGGTCTCCTGCCCACCCCCACTACCTCCAAAAGAGGACTGGAGAGATAAAGAGAAGGAAGTGAAAATTATTCCAACTTCTCTCCCAGAAACCATGCCTAAGATACCCTGAAACTATTTACAATTTGGAAAGAATTGATCATGCTCAACTTAAGGCAGATCTTTGCTGGAAACCATCTGAAGAAGAAAAAATCAAAGTTATAAATCAGTGTTGTGTCTATTTTTCCATTTCCCATTCTCATAACATCCCCATTCCCCATGGAGGCCTAAAAACACAGCTTATCAAGATCAATGACCAGTCAGCAATGTCTGTGAAATGGAACTTTTGGTTAGCCACATACAATTCCTTTTGGAAGACAGAATGATATAAATAAATTCAGTTAAAACACATACACAACTTTTAGTTAAGTCTATCACTGGTCCTGGCACCCTGGTATCCCTGTGAGAAGGCCGATGGCTGTCTTAAGAGGACTGTCTCAAGAAAGGATCAGGCAGAGCACAGGACTAGTGTTTTAGGTGGAAATGACAGGGAAGAGGCGTTTTGGCTCAGTCTAGGGAAGAAATGTCTTACCAGAGAGGCTGTCTGACAGGGGGCTGAATTCCCCTCCCTGAAGGTTTGCAGCATAATCCAGATGGCCCTTGTCAGGTCAGATGCTGTAAAAGCAGCACAGCACTGGGCAGGCAATTACAGTGTCCGCCTCTCCACAATTAGACAAGCTCTTTGTGCTCAGGACTTCTGCAGCTTCCCTTTACATATCAAACTGGGGAAATAATCCCTGCTCTCTCTTCCTCACAACAATTCAGTGATGGAAAATTGACACAATAGCCTAGACACTTCACATAACGTCACTACATATACAGCATGACTCTGTGGTCCTTTAAGTGTTTGGAAGCACTCACAGGCCTTCCAGGTAAGATGAGGGCTGCAAACGCTTCCTGGGACCACATATCCCTTGCAAAGACTGGCATCAGGAATTTGATGGGCCAAGCTGAAGGAGGTGATATGCCACCCTGAAATCCAGACCTTCTAAAGTCGAAGCTTGGCCTGAAAGGGGATGCCCCAGAGAAGGAACAACTTCACTACTGGGGGAAGGGAGGCAAGAAAGAAAGGACAGGAAAAAAGAAACTAACTCATAAATACAGAATTTTCAGCTTGCAAATGAACTTAGTTATTGCCTCCAGCTCCCAATGAATGTGGTCTAGGTGTTACACAGGCAGTAAGAAGCAAAGAGGTGCTAGAAGCCAAGCTTTCTGCTCTGCACCCAGGCCATTGTACCCCAATATCTATCAAAATTCCCCAACACATCTCCTGTTTGCTGTCACTGTGAAAAACAGGTATCTTCGCATAGATAAACTGGAATTCAAGGTAGGAGTGGGAAGGAGGTAAGAAGGTAATTATGAACAGGTTTGCTTTAACTGGGAATGGAGCCTGCAAAAATATAAAGGGCTAAGAGATAACAGTCTGAAAAAAAAAACTGTCATCTAAATGAGCAGGAGAGGGGCACCTAACTGGCTCAGTCAATTAAGTGGCCACTTTTGTTCACCATTCAGGTCATGATCTCACAGTTCATGGGACTGAGCCCCGCTTCTGGGTTCCATGCTGACAGAACAGAGCCTGCTTGGAATTCTCTTTCTCCCTCACTCTCTGTCCCTCCCCTGCTGATGCTGTCTCTCTCTCACAAAAAATAAACTTTAAAAAAAATAATAAAATAAAGTGGGAAACCATATCTTCTTTAAAAAAAAAAAGAGGAGAAAAAAACAGAATATGGCAAAAGAAGAAAAGGCCCAGTACTTACTCCAAGAAATGGGGCTCAGTCTCCTAACCACACACTTGCCCCTTGAGACTTCGCTTTCCTCCACCCCTCTTTAATCTGCTACCTCAAAGAGGCACACTTGTCTTAAGTGTGGAGAACCCTGAGGGCCAGAATCCCTCAATCACCTTTTCAGCCACTTGATGATCCCAGGTATTAAGAGCAACAGGATGAGACAAATTCAGGGCAGGCTTTTAACTGAGGATATCCAAGGCTTTTACCAGTACACTAATTCAATAAAAGAACAGAACCCCTAAGTCAGAGGTTTTTTTGTATATAACAATTACACAAGCATTATCAAGCAATGCCAATGGTATTGTTTCATAAGTACATGGCCCTGGATACTTTCCAAAATCTATCATTTTATTTGCTCCCTGTAAAAACCTGTAAGGGACCTTAAAATTACTTATCTCCATCTTGCAGGTGAATAGAACACTGACAGAGCTTAAACCAATATTATCTAGGGTTGCACACTAAGAAAGAAAGAGCTAGAACAAAAATCCAACTGATCTCGAGCCTGTGTTCTGTCCCTCTCTGTCTGCATGAGGTTTCATGGTCTAAACTCCCTTATAGGGGGAGAAGAGAGAAAGACAACTTAGGAAGTTATCTAGACCATTTTCTACCCTCCCCCTCAAAGGCAATTCTATTCAATTAGCTCCCCAAAACACAGTAGCCTGCCTCTGCCTGGGTGATTCTTTCTAGAGTGTTATTTAGCCCAAAATGTGTTGACTCAGTGTTCGAAAGACCCCTATAGACAATCTAATCAAGTCTCTCTTCAGAAGCTGAAATCCTTTTCATGTTCTCCTGGGCCTAACTTCACAATTGCTATTGCCTACAACCTTTTACAAGGTACTCCTTCTGCCTGGGTAAAGAGAGGCTGGGAACAATTCTGCACTCTAAGAGAGTGAAAGGTGAAGCTTCCTCTGTACCCAACAGAGTAAGAGTTCTCATCAGGCACTTCATAAATGGCAGCATCCCCAGACTTGTCGCACTGAACATTTTCTGCACAAAAGCAGTAAGACACAAGTGGGAAGCAAGACAAGGACCTTACCTTTCTTCTCTTCTCTCAGCTGCTCCCCTGGAGGTCATCAAACTCTCTTCTAGTACTCCATTTCAAAAACTTTGAATCCCAAACCAGATACACCGAAAACAAAAGTGCAGCTTCTCTTCTGTTATCCAGGTCCAAAGTCCATGGCTGAGTGGACTCTGAAGGGGCGGAGCCTGGGGGGGAAGGGGTATGTCCAGGCCCCTCCCCCCCCACTGCAGGGTTCACTGTCCCTCCCACAGGTTTGTTACATTCCTTCATTCAGCTGGTTTATTAAGACCAGAGCCTGGTGTTGGGCAGATCCCAGGTTCTATCCCATCTCTTGCTCATGAAAGAGAAGTCATCCACTGTGAGGAGTGGCCTTTCTGTCTTCTGCTGGGATTCATGAGAAGAAACTGGCCATAGAACCAGCATGGCCAGAAGGCTGATTTCAGTGTTAACCTGTGGAATATTTAAACATTATAAACATGATAGATTAAGCTAATCTATTATATGCCCAAATGGATTCCTAAAACCCCTTACCTAGATTAGTTTCCTTTACTCTGCTCTATCATTAAAATATCAAAAGCACTAACAGTGCATGTAGACTTCTAAGACCTACAGAAAAGAACATCCTCTTCCCATCTCCTGGTCTTGTTATTACCACACACTAATCTCCTACATCCCCCAAGCTTCTTAAAGTGTTCAGTGTTTTCATCGTCCAGCTCTCCCTGAATGAACTAAATCCATTCCAGACCTAGATGCTGGCATTTTCCACATGCATTCTTTGCTCCTTTCTCTTCACCCTCACCTCCCCTCCTGCTTCCAAAACTGTGCCAGGGATGGAATTCCCAATCTCAGTCAAACTCCTTCCCGAGGCCACTGAGAGCACTCTCCTGGAACAGAGGCCTGAGTCGTGCCAGCAATAGCTGCACAGTGTTCCAATTTCGCAGTCCGGAAGCCCACCCGCGTTGCCCCCTCTATTCTAAGTTTATTTTAAACACACAGACACACCGGTCGCCCCCCTCCCTTCTAAATTTATTACTAAACACATACGTACGTGTACACACACACACACACACACACACACACACACACACACACCCTTCCTTCCTGTAGGGGCGTGGCGTTCACATGACCCCCCCTCCTCAACCCAAATTTAACTCCTCCCACCCTTCTTCACGGAACCCAGTGCTCCTCGTTCAATGAGGAAGGGAGTGACACCGCGACCCTCTCTAGACTCTGACACCCACCTCTCTGCCGCTCGGACGACCCTCGCCCTGTCTGCGCTTAGTTGTTACCTAGATCCCTCCCGCCCGGTCTCAGCACGAAGCCGCTGCCCTCCCAAGATTTGAGTCCCGGCCCCAGGATGGGTCCCAAAAGCCGCCCCAGGCCCCACCCCCTCGACCCCCGGCGGCCAGGCCCTCCCCTCGCGCTCCTTTTCCCCCCTCCCACCATCCGCCTCAGCCACTTCCGCCCGTCCTCCGGAAGTGAGCGGAAGGCAACTGCCACCTCCCCTCATCCCGCCTTATCTTCCACCACACCCCCCTTGCTCCCGCCCATCACCACCGCCACCACGGGAGCGCGGGATGTTGGTCTGCAGGGTTTGAAGCTGTTTTGCAGTCACTGTCCACAGGACTGAAGACGAGGTGTGAGCAGGACCAAGTCTGGAAGAGAACAGAGCTGGGGGACAACGTAGCTGCCCCGCAAGAAGGGGCGGGGCAGAGTACCGCGAAGAGCTAGAGCGCGCGTCACTTCGAGCCGCGCGGTAAGAAGAGCGCATGCGTCACGACCTCTCGGCCTGTCGCGAGCGTAGAAGCCCGTAGGCCTAGCGGGGTGGGACTTGGGCAGGAAGGGGGTGGGGCAGCTCGGTCCGGTGCCCTCCCTCCTAAGGTCGCCTAGCAACCTCCCGCTTGCTCTGGGTGCTGGAAAAGGCCAAGGCAACTCCTCCCGCTCTCTGGTTGTTGGTCCTCCCGGGGAGAAACAATTGAGGAAGCGCCGAGGCCAGTATTAACCGCTCCAGTGCTGACAGCTCTGTGGCAGTACCAAAGGAAAGTTTTATTTTGTTCATCGCTTACTTTTTCTCGCTACTTCTCTCGCCTAGGCAGGACCTTTACTTTCGTCAGAAGAGAGAAAGAAAAGGGTAAGAATACTCTAAAATGAGTGCCCCGCGCCTTCACTACACCCTTTACACACACTGTGCGAAGTAATTTACATGGTTACCACCCCTTGCACCGCAGAGAGGTAAGCCTGAGGTTGCGTGACTGAGGAAGTGGCAGAGACCGGACTCCCAGGCTGTAACACTACCCAGTACTGCCACTATCACGTTCCACCGGAGACCTCTCTCCAAAGAAACCTTTCCACTCCTGCAGTGGACTGCCAAGTTCCAAAATTGCCCTGGTAGCCTCTTTTCTAAATACATTGACCTGACTTGCTCTTGAGTTCAACTTAAATCCAAGAGGAGCTACTAATTATTGGAATTCATATGTCATCCCCTTAATGACATGTTCTAGAATCTTGCCAGGACTATGAACGAATTGGCAGCCTGTTTCCCCCTCCTTTTTGAAAACACAAGCCTAGGCTTTAGTCTTCTGGCTATCTTATGAGATGCTATGTTTATAGCAAGGAATATATATATATTTGGCCTTTATTTCATTCCTGGCTCAAAGGTCCTAAAACCCTTGGAATTTCCTAAGTGGTAAGAGCACCAGAAGCATCTTTTGTGTTAATATTTGGTCATTGACCATGGTCCTGACACAAGGTTTGTGAAACTTGGAATTTCCTGGGTTGATGGGAAAGTCCTTTGTTCAAAACAAGCCGCTCTGGGTGGGCTCCTAGACAACTCCTGGATGAGGACTGGTTACTAGAAAGTCCAAGACATGATTCTGTGGAGATGGAAGAAGGGCTGAAAATGAAGTTAATGATTGATCATACGTAAGTGATGGAACTTCCTTAGAACTCCTACTAGTCTGGTTCAGAGAGCTTCCAGATTGGTGAGTACATCTGTGTCCTGGGAGACCGAGGCATCCCAGCTCCACTGGAGAGAAGCTCCTGTACTTGGCACTCTCCCTACCCACCCTATATATCTATCTGGATGTTCATCTACATCCTTCACTACATTGATGGATGTAAATAAGTGTTTTCCTGAGTTCTCTAAGCTGCTCTAGCAAGTAATTGAATCCAAGGGAAAGAGGTCCTGGGAACCTCCAGATTGTAGCTAAGTCAGACAGAAGTTGTGGGTAACTGGGGACCTGCTGCTTGTGATTGGTATCTACAGTGTGGTTAGTCTCATGGGACTGATCTCTTAACCTGTAGAATCCGATGCAGCCAGCTGGTGTCACAGATGATTGCTTGGTGGGGAGAAAACCTGCTCATTTGGGGTCTGAAGTATCAGAAGTGAGGGGTTCTTTATGAGGAGGAAAGAAGACACATGGAAGAGAAGTCTGACTTGTTTGACTCTAAGCTAAGAGGAGCTTTAGCTAATTTTTAGAGTCCATATGCCATCCCTTTACTGACATATTCTAGAATACTGCCAGGACTGGATAAATTTGCAGCCTCTGGTTTTTCCCCCTTTTTGAAAACTGGAACCTAGGCTTCAGTCTTCTGGCTTAGCTTCTATTCTCGTAATTTCTCCAGATTCCCAGCAATAATTAACTTGCATGTTTTCAGTACTGGGAATATAATAATTGTGGGGTCAGGAGTCTTGAAATGATTTCTTGAGAAAGATGCCATCATAATATTAGAAACATTCTCTTCTTTAAAAAAAATTTTTTTTTAAATTTCTTTATTTTGAGAGATAGAGAGCAAGCAAGGGAGGGGCAGAGAGAGAGGGAGAGAGAATCCCAAGCAGGCTCCATGCTGTCAGCACAGAGCCCAATGTGGGGCTGGATCCCATGAACTGTGAGATCATTACCCAAGCAGAGACCGAGAGCAGGTGGCCCTAGAAACATTCTGCAAACAATTTATATTGCTAGTACACTCAAACATAATAGGTCCACAAATAAGTTCTTTCCTCTACTTCAGACCTACTCCATCCAGTGTCTTTCTCATCTGAATTAAGGGCAACTGCACTTCATTTTCTCAGGCCCAAACCTCAAGAGCCATCCTTATATACCTCTGTCACATCCTCTACCCAATCAGATTTTGTTGGCTCTCCATTCAAACTATACCTAGAGTCCAACACCTCATAATCCCCATAGCGACCTTCATCCCTCACCTGATCAACCAGGTCTCTCTGCCAAACTCCCCCATCCCTTATAGTCTGATCTCCATACAACAGCCAAAGGGATCCTGGCATTTCTCCACTCAAAACCACACAGTGGCTCCCCAGTTCACTTGGAATAAAAAGCCTAAATACTTGGCCTACAAAGCCCACTACCAACTAACTGCCCTGCTTATCTCTGACCTGCTATCCCTTTGCTTACTTACTCTGACTCAGGCCCACTGCCTTTATTGCTTTTCCTTGAACCCATTTCAGGGCTTTTGCACTGGATGTCCCCTTTGCTTATAAAGCTCTTCTAGATATTTCAGATATTTGCCTAATTCATTCCCTTTTTCAAACCTTTCCTCCAATGTCACCTCAATGAGGCCTTCTCTGACCAACCCATTTAACCCTCCCCTCACTCATAGCAGTGCCAGTCTCTCTTACTCAGCTGCAGTTTTTCCATAGCACTCACTTATCAATGTATTTATATGTTTACTACTTCTTGCCTGTCTACCTCTGCTAGAATGTTAGTTCCATGAGGGGAGTCATATTTGGCTATTTGATTCCTTGCTGTATCCCAAGTGCCTAGCCCTTAGTAGGTGCTCAACAAACATTTGTGTAATAAGTGAACAAATAAATGAAATTGAACAACTGTTTTCATGATCGAGTTTTCCCATCCCAGCCTTTCTCACATGTAGATACATGACATAGTTATGAGCTTAGTATACATTATTTTGAATTATGGATTTTTTCTCCATACCATAGATATTGTTCACATTTCTAGATATTCATAATTAGAACCATTTTTGCTTTTTAAAGGTACTCAGATTTTTGCATGCTAATTATAACAAGTCTAACAACATAGAGTAGTGTTAATAAAAAGTTGATTATCTGCCTTCCTCCTCTAATCCCACCCTGCTAAGAGGGCTACTTTTAAATTTAGTGGTTATCCTTCCAAATATTTTTCTTAATGTTTTATTTATTTTTGAGAGAGAGAGAGACAGAGTAAGAGTGGGGGAAGGGCAGAAAGAGGGGGAGACACAGAATCCAAAGAAAGCTCCAGGCTCTGAGCTATCAGCGCAGAATTCGATGCAAAGCTCAAACTCGTGAACCACAAGATCATGACCTAAGCTGAAGTCAAATGCTTACCTGATTGAGCCACCCAGGCATTCCCAAATATTTTCTATACATACATATAAACATGTAACAGGTACAGATTTTATAGTTCAAAGGCTGGTTATGCCTAAATTGTAACTGTATTTTCTAGAATTCAAGTCACTTTTAATTCTAGTGACTTTATCTTATTACCTCTGATGGCAGAAAACCTAAATCTAGTTAATTCAAGGTAAATGCTGACACTTTATGATTTGTTTATTTATTAATGTTTAGTTACAGTTTAATCCCAGTGAATTCAGGATTTATTAATGCCTATTCTATCCTTTTACCCTCACATGATTACCTGTTTTTTAAAAATTATTTTAAAAGAGGGGTGCCTGACTGACTCAGTTGGTTAAACATCCGATTTCGTCTCAGATCTTGATCTCGCTGTCCGTGGGTTTGAGCTTGGCATCAGGCTTTGTGCTGACAGCTCAGAACCTGGAGCCTGCTTCAGATTCTGTGTCTCCCTCTCTCTTTGCCCTTTCCCTGCTCGTGCTCGCTTTCTCTCTCTCTCAAAAATAAATAAACATTAAAATTATTATAAAAGAAATGGACATTAATTACAGAAAAAGCAGTAAACCATAAATAAGCAAAGTGAAAAAAAAATCCAGAAGTAATCAAGCCTATATATACATATTTGTTCTGTATATATATGTGCATAGTTAGAATCATAATTAGTTTTAATTGCTTAATATGTTACAAACATTCTTCCATGTCAAAAAATATACTTCTGTGGCATTTTTAATGACTGCTTGGTATCCTGTTGTACAAATGTACCATAATTATAGTCCTGTTTTTTGTACGTTTGGGTTGTTTCCAACTTTTCACTTATGTAAAATTACTTGTAACTAACTCTCTGTGCACATCCCTAATTGTTTCCTCGGTATAAAATCCTGGAACTGTTATCAAAAGGTGCACTCATTATTGAAGGCATTTGATGCATGTTGTCAGCAGGCCTACAGAAGGGTGGCACCGCTTTGACACCAGTGGGCAGGAGGGTCCTCTTCTCTGCACCTGGCAGCACTGTCTTTTCATTCTTTGTCATCTTTGTCAATCTGATAGAAAATTGGTTTTGTATTGCTTTTAAGCTGTGTTCTCCTTTTTACTAGTAAAGTGGAACTTGCTTTTATACATCACTTTTGTGAATTGTCTGCTTGTGTCTTTTGCTCATGGGGACTCATCTTTGTGTCACACCTTTGCTAGAACTCTTATAGAATATACAATAAGATGTTGTTATTTGTGTTGCAGATATTTTCCTAGTTTGGTACTTGCCTTTTAAGTCTATCTTTGTGCTCATTTGATATTGTAGAAGTCAACAGCAGTTAGGCCAGAGGTCTGGTCTTGCTGCCTATGCTCTGCTCTGCCTTCAGAATAAATTAATACTTAGGAGTAGACTAGAGACTTTTGTGTCTGTTTTTGCCAATGTACTATAAGGAGTGAATAATGGGACAGGACCAGTCTCCACACAGAAGGCCACAGAATCCCCAGGTGAAGGAGGAGGCATTTGGGGATAATTTGTGTGTTCTGGAGAGCAGTGATACCCGATGCCGTCCTCAATCTTTGGAAATCTCCATTTTAAATGATCTGTCATCCCTATTAGTTATCTCTATTCATACACACATAATTATCATACCATGATTCTTCTGTGTCTGGTAGAAATAATCCTTACCATGGACATAGTCTTTGTCTTCTCTCTCACTTTCTCTTTGGCCTGGTTGGTATTCTTTCCTCAAAACATCCTCCTTAGTATCTTTTTTTCATGTCTGATTCATTAGTCACCATGCCATTTTCTAAACTCTTTTCCCTTCATTAATTCCAGGAGGTGAAGGTAGACTTCTCTGGAACACTGAAGATGGATATTCCTACCCCCTTTTTCATGTCCCTTGTGACCTAAGAAAAGAAGGGGAGGAGGGGGCAGGAGGGCCAGGGTTGCACTGCAAGTACAGAACTGAAGAGGATGTGACAAGTTCTGACATCACTATTGCTAAGTGTAAAGCTGGACTTTTTACAGACACTGTAAGGAATCCTAGTAAAACCTAGAATATTAAGCAGAGACTTGAGATGAAGGTTGGGTGGCAAGTGGAGGACCCTGGGGATTTCAGTTCAGTCATGGTCGATGAAAGCTATTTAAGCACTTTCTTCATTTCACAAAGAAGGATGTACTCATCATCTTGTATCTAGTTTTTCCTTATTAAATTGTATTATTATTTAAATTATTTTAATTTTGAGCATTTCTCCCCAACTGGATTATGAGCTTAAGGACAGTGACCTGTTTACCTTAAAACACTTATATATTTCTGTGTTTGTTTAATTCAGTTAACATTTACCTGCCAGCTCAGATCCTGGCTTCTCTGATTTCTGTGGTGGAAGATTTGGTTTCCTTTTCCAAGTGCAGATAATGAAATCTAGCCTTCACCCCTGGCAAGGTATTCATGAGGATCAAATGAAACCAGTGCTGTGGGAACTCTTTTAAAACTGCAAAGAGCAATGTAAATATCTATGGCATTTAGAAGTTTACAGATAGCAATCAGAAAGTGCCAGGATGCTGGTCACATTGAGTTTTCATGGGAGATCACTTTATGTCCTCTCCATCTGAGAACAGAGAAAGCCCTGAGCCCCTTACCCTCCTCCCTTACGAAGCTACTCATGTTTCTTACCTGGCGTGTCCCTTTCTCAGGGCTCTCAAAGTGTGATTATGCCATAATGAAGGCTAGTCTGCTTTTGAGTACCTTTCTTTAACAATTACAAGTTCTGACAACCACTAGGTTGGTTTGTTTTTAAACCGTGAATTTGCATTTAAGCCTAGAGCATTTGCTCAGGTCAGTATTTCATTAGACCAGCTTCATTAGTGAGGGTTGTCCAGTTACCTAGAGAGGATAAAAAACCTTGGATCCTGATGCCAGGAGGCTGAGGCTTTCCTGTACTGAGCTCCATGGGTAGTAGAGGTAGCTGGAAGGGAAGAGGAGATGGAGAAGGGAGAAGTCAAGGGAACACAGTCCAAAATAGAAGTGCCTTTTGCCTTCCAGATAGGTTAGTCACTGGTTAAGAGGAGACTTACTCTCAGGAAAGAACAAAGAAATTTACAAGTAAAAAGCTGAAGATGTTTCAGAAGTACGGAAGTAAAGAGTGTTTAGAGGGATTTAAAATTAATCAGGAAGTTGCTTTTTAAGGTCACTTAAAGGGGGTAAGTGGGTCACCAGCAAGGTCTTAAAGGGAAGGAGGAGTAGTTCCTAGTTTGGGGTCATAAATGCTTTACTCCAAGCAGAACGAGTTCAAATAGGAACATTCCTACTGCTTGTAATCTAAATTGGTTTTGGTGTCGAGGTGCCTGGATTCTCAAGGCCCTGACTGCGGTGACCAGCCTCCAAATACCCCAACCGAATCCTTTAAAGGTTCTCCTCATATAGGAGCAGTTCAAAGTCCTTGGAAGAAAACAATTACAACTATTCCCCTCAAACCATGCTATAATTATAACCTTATCATATTTCCTTTATCTTTTTTGAAATGGGTTTTATTATTTTTTATTTCTATTTTTATTTTTTGAGAGAGAGAAAGTATGCAAATGGGGGAGAGGGGCAGAGGGAGAGAGAGAGCCTTAATCAGGCTCAGTGCTCAGTGTGGAGTCTAATGGGGGACTGGATCCCACAACCTGACCTGAGTTGAAATCAAGAGTCAGACGCTTAACCAACTGAGCCACCCAGGCACCCCTGAGATGGGTTTTAAATCAGAATAGCCATTTCTGAGTATTGGAAACATTTTAAATAACTTCTAGTAATAATCTTTATTAGTCATAAAAAGGAAAAGACATATGTAAATCTTTCAAAAGACCATCTCTGATCTTTTGCTAGGTATATTTGCTTTCTAATATTTCCCCTGGTCCCACAATAGGCTACTTCAGAATAATGGAAGAATGTAAGTTAAAGACAACCCAGTATCCCAGCAAACACTTAGTAGGAATTGTCTGGAAACTATTTAAGGGGAGAAAAAGCCACAGGCTTCTGGAAGTTTATAGTCCTTTCCCGTGCCTGCCACCTCCCAGTTGTCTCACTGCTGTGTGGCAGTCACCTCTGTGCTGCGTCACACACTGATTCATTCCTAGTAGTGTTGTGCCTGAATTGCAAGTCCCCTGAGACCATCAAGGAGCCGACACTGATGCAAGTACATAAGGGTCTTTATTACAAGCTCGAGCAGGGTCTCGCTCATCCGCCAACCGGCGCAGCGGCAGCAAGGTGAAGCCCCGAACAATAGCGAGCAGGGTTTTTATGGGGTAAGGGACGGAGGTGTTATAGTGCACACATTGTACGTATAGCATCATCACATAAGCACCAGTCATAATTGTACAGTACCCATGGTAACAGTTTTGACCATTCAGTATCTGTGAGGCGTCCGTTACTTTTGGCGGGACCCAATCATGACCTTTGAGAATCCTTTGAAAATGACCAATTATTAGTTGAGTTCAAAGGGCCTATTTGTTTTTTAGGCAAGTGGTGAGTGATTGGCTAGTTTGTACAGAGTAACTACCTGCAGTTCCCGGCCCTGACTCAGACCACAGGAATGTTACACATTTCTTTTGATTGGCTGGTCCGAGGGTGGCTTCAGCTGAAGCTTTTCCTGGAACTGGGGCTAGGTGCAGCCCGAGGTTGCTCTTAATGGAGGACTTAATTTCAGGCTTCTCAGTAGCAATTAAAGGACTGACCATTTTAGGTGATTAACCCTCCTAAATAATCAGACCCATTTGAGGTCAAATATCAAGCTTGTAGAAATGTCTGTGGAAATATCAAGCTTGCATCCTTCTCTTCTAACATGCCTTCTTGGGTGGGCAAAAAACAATTGGAATTTCAGCAGAGAATTGGGTGTTGTATCTGAAATGGATCTGATGTATTCATCTACAACCTAGAGTGAGAAGAATATTCCAAGAAAAAAAAAATAATTTACTTTTTTTCTGGGCTTTGACAATACCTGGAATATCACAGGCACTTCATTCCAGGGAAGCGACCAGGGATCTTAAGTCTGAGGTACACGGAGACTCCAGATTCATCTCCTCTTCCTCAGCCTGGCCTCTACTTCTTCCTTTTCTTCCTCCCCAGAGTCTTCAGAAGTCCGTTATCATCAGCTCAAATGCCACTCCCTCCTTGAAACATCAGCAGTTGTCAGCACTGATTCTTCTTTGCCTTGTATTAGAATTCATTGTGGTACAACTGTCTTATTCCTTTCCATATTCTTCAGTTCCACCCAACCCCTAGTAGTATCTTGAGAGACTCAAGTGGAGTATGAATGGCTGTAGGCTAGTCGTGAGCACCCAGAAAAGAAACCCAAGTTTTAGTGAAGCACTGTATGGAAATCCTGCCTGGGAAGGTGTGGTATCAAACTTAAGAAAGTTTAGAAGAGAGACAAAATGTTGAATATTTAACCTGATCCATTTTGAGAAAAGGAGGAAAGAAACATGACATAGTAAATGAGGCAGGACTTCTGAGCTAAAATCTGAGTAAAATTTACAGATTCCAGTAAACCAAACCCCTAAAAAGATACAGCCAAGAAAATGTAAGAAACTAGGCTGCAAGTTGTACAAGTTTGAACCCAGAGAGCCAAGTTTGTTGAGTAATGGAAAATAGTATGGGCATTCTGGGAACAGTATGGTGTTTCCCCATTACAAATGTAAGAAAGTGCAGCCTGAAAAGTAACTACTGGAAAGCATGAGTTTAGCATAGAGATAGTGTGGCACAGCTGTGTTGTGTACACTCATGAGCCTGTCGCCTTGGGTTCATACGCTCTACCATGGAGCTCTGTGCTGTGGGCAAATTCTTAACCTCAGTGCCTAAATTTGCATACCTGCCAAGTGGGAAATGAATATATGACCACCTCATGGTATTCTTGTAAAGACTGGAGTAGTTGCCGGCAATAGTGCCTGACACATAGTGAATACAGTATTTTGTTATTTTATTATATAAAATTTAAATAATCTATTTGGAACAAGTAAGGAAACTTTAGGGATAATCTGATCAAAGTCTCTGTGATTCCCCCAAATGATGAAACAGTGTCATTATGTGTCCTTTATAAGTTACTTGAAATGCATTTTATTATCTACTAGTTTCTTAGGGTCATCCCTAAATGGCTTTTTTATGTATTCAGATTATGGTTCTTGAATGCAGGAACTTGTGTCTTAACCTTGTGTGACCGTAACAGTGTTAGGCATACATAGCAAAACTTAATAAATATCTGTGAGGTTCTATTTTTTTTAATATGGAATTTCAAATTTATCCCAGGGACAACCATTTAGACATTAATAATGATTAGTTTTGTTGTGTTGTGTTTTTAAAATAGCACTTGAGAAGACCCAGACGACCCTGGCAGAAAGGTCTAGCTAAGAAAGTGTTAACAAAGGGAAGGAAGACCCCAGAAGAAATTGTGGTATGGCCAGCACTTCTTGAAGAATCTTGGCAATCAGAGGGAGGAAGATGTGTTTATTGAAAAGGTGTGAAGAAAGCAAAAATAAGGGACAGCAAAGATCATGGCCCATACTTTTCAATTCTCTCTGTCCACCTGCAGACGACTTTGCTTCATGTACTGATTCCACAAATGTGGAGCCCCTGTCGTCGGGCCGGTTACAGGCCACTGAAGAAACACAGCAACAGCCTTACAACACATCCCAACCCATGGAGAGAGGCCCTGTAAGGCCCCCAATCTGAAAACTCAGAGCCCAAGCCTTGACCAGGAGGTGAAATTTATTCTTGCCATTAACCAAATGTTATGAGAACAGCCAGGACAACCTGAATAACAGGTGGCATAGAAGATCCCCAAACCATTCATTTGTGAGCAATTTCAGATAATGACCAATTTTCCTGGGGAGGGGAGTAAATGAGAAGAAAAACCAAGTCCAAAGATCCTAATTCTAAGGGGATGAAGAGACTTGGCCTGTGTGGACAGATAGTGTGCTTTCATGGAAAGGCAAGACTTTTCTTTGAGATACACCAAATTGGAAGCAGAAAAGAGGCTGAGCATGTAGGCTGGGGAGGAGTGGAGTGGGAAGCAATTCTCTTCCCGATAGGCTCTCCCTCATGGAAAAAAAATCACTTATAGAGACTGTAGTGGCTGCAGGAAGGAGAGATGGATTTGTTAAAAAACTGGATAGGGCTGGCGAGTCTCCTTTTGTGTCTGAGAGGCAGCAGTGGAACAGCCTGTATCCCTGAGACTTGGATGCCAAGGTTACAGGGGGACCTGAAGATCAAGTGGACACGGCAGGAGCAGAGTTTATGCCACATTGCCTCCCCAGTGTCATGTATAAGTGGGTGCCCACTAGATGCGAGAGCACTGCAGGGGGCTATGGGGTGTGTATCCAACAGTGAAAACAGGAGAGCAGAAGGAGATAGCCAAAATGTGCACCCTCCCAAGAGCAGGGCCCACAAGCAGTCCACCCTAGATCTATCCTTAATATTTTGGACGTTCAAGGTAAAGGGAGACAGGGTGTGCAGCCAGCTGGATTGTCAGATACAATACAAAACACTCAGTGGCATTTGAACTTCAGATGAACAAGGACTTATTGTTATTGCATGGAACATACACTAAGAATATTCATTGTTCATCTGAAATTCAAATGTAACTGGGCATCTTGGTTCTGTTTGTTTTCCTTTGCTAAATCTGGCAATTCTAGTGACATGTCAACATGCTAAGTGAACCTGAACATTTTTGAAGATGGAATTAAAGCAGTAGAGGCAACTTCTATAAATAGCACTGAGTCCTCCAAGTTCCAGGATTTGATTACTGATTCCGAGGTGACAGTACCCTCTCCAAGTACTGAGGCCTCCTCCTTCTGGGAGCTATGGGACAAAAAGAGAAAATAGACTACACAGGCCGGTTTGATTGTCTAGCCAAAGCAATAGGCATCAATAACAAGGATTTCACACAGCCAGTCTTCTAGATTGTGAATGCAGTCATGCCAGCATTTGGGAAAAGATAGGGTATAGAGTAGAATAGGTTGAGGGGAGAGGATCAGAATGTTTTTCCTGTATTCTGTCTCATGAAACTGCATCTGTGAGTGAATGTATGTATACATGCCTAACAATATTTCTTACTATAGTCAGGGTCCAAAATGTTTGAAAACCACTGCTAATCAAGATGTTGATACTTGCAGGATATTACTATGAAAGCTGTTTTGGATCAACAGCCAGGACGAGTTTTCTTCACACTCACAGGTAAGGGGAGCTTTGTCTTGTTCTGGAAAAGTCACCTTCTGGAACTACCTTATGTTTTCATGGAATCTGCAGTCTCTTGCATATATGGATGGCCATTGCTTCATTTAAAGTGGAGTTCCTCATTTTGCCATTTCGTTTCTTTTGCTACAAACACTTATTAAAAACATATATTGGAACCTTGTATTGTTGTACCCAATCTTGGGCAATAAATAGAGATAAATATATATAAATATACTATATAAATATAATATAAATCATATGACTAGAGGCATTGTCCAAATGGCCTTTAAAATTTATTTTCTTTCCTCCTCTAAAAGGAAGGTTTTTGAACTTTAAAATCCTTGGAGATGACGGGCCACCTAGGTGGCTCAATTGGTCCAGCATTGGACTTCCACTCAGGTCATGATCTCACAGTCCATGAGATCAAGCCCCACATCAAGCTTTTTGCACTGACAATGCGGAGCCTGCTTCAGATTCTCTGTCTCCCTCTCTTTCTGCCCCTCCACTGCTCATGCTCTCTCTCAAAAATAAATAAACATTAAAAAAAAAATCTTTGAAGATTACCTGGTGTAATTCCTCAGAGCTATCCCAAATGGTTTTAAAAGAGTCATTAGTCCTCTCATGCAGTGAACATATTATACTTAGAAAGAGGAAGAAAACATGTTTACAGTTTCACTTTGAACTTTAAATAATTCCTGAAACAATTAGCTCTTGATTTAGAAATCATAAATAAAACTGTTTTATCATCCAGTGTTACTGAAACATTGTGTCCTGTGATGTCGTAGTCTCTACCGTTCCATGTCCTGTGATGTCGTAGTCTCTACCGTTCCAGGAATTTAATTTTTATTTTGCACACTTGTTAGGAAAAAAAAAAAAGCTTGTAAAACCAAAGCCTAAATATTGTACTACACCGATTGCTCTGATCTCTGACTTGCCTCCAAATGTTGCATTTATCAATGGATGAGGTGGGTTTGCTGTGCTATTTTAGCAGACAATACCAAATACACCTGGATCTGAAACTGATCTTGACTGTAATTTTAAAAAGCATGTAAATGAAGCCTGCATGTCTTTAGTTGTAAGATGGACATAATGAAAGTACCTAACTTGTAGAGCTGTTATGGGATTTATATGAGAGAATGAATGTAAAGTCAGGTGTGGCAGAGAATACTATATAATTCACCATTTCTATTTCCTCTTCATGAACTTGAGTCATATTTTCAACCCTCTTTATATTTGTTTGGGGCTATGTAACTGGGCTCTGGCATATATCCCAAGTCTTGTTGTTTTAATACACAGGAGGGTGCCCTAACCCACATAGGACTTTATGTAAGCAAGAAACCAACCTTTATTTGTAAAGATTTAGGGTTTCTTTGTTACTGCAACATCGTGTGGCCTACCCTGACTAATACACCTAATATTCGTGTGTGTGTGTGTCTATATACATATATGAATGACAGTAAATGAATTTTAGCACTTATGATATCTATGAACCAGTATGGAATAGTTCCTTGGATATATGTTATTGAGAAAAAAATCTAGACAAAGAGTATATAGTATTCTGCATTATGTATATGAAAGAAGGGCAATTAAAAAATATATTTGACTCTTGAACAACACAATTTGAACTGTATTGGTCCACTTATACATGGATTTGTTTTTTATACATACAATACAGTACAGTAAATTTGTTTTCTCTTCCTTATGATTTTCTCAATAACCTTTTCTCTAGCTTATTTTATGAATACAGTATATAATACTTATTATAGTATGGTATTAATAGTTAAGTTTTGGAGGAGTCAAAAGTTGTATGTGGATTTTCGACTACATAGGGGGTCAGTACCTCTAACCTGCATATTGTTCAAGGGTCAACTATATCCATTTATTTGCTGATTTCAGCAAAAAGAAATACCAGAAAGGAGAAGCCAGAAACTAATGAAAATGAAACAGGGTGGAAAGGATAATGCCTGGGAGTAAGGCTTCTCTGACTAAATGTGTTGATACAATGTTGATTTTTGAAGCATGTATTTTATATACTCTGAAACAAAAGTACATCATAAAGAAAATGCCTTAAGCCTGGACCTTAAACGAAACTAATGACCTAACTCTATATAAAATTAGTTACTGAACCAACAATGACCGAGAAAGTTATTTTGGGTAACTTGAACACACTACTCTGACTGTAAATACATTAATATTATTGGGAACCAAGAATTTCCAATATAAAAGGAAAAAGGTAAAATATAAGAAGTATTTTAAGAAAAATACTGCTTAATAATGCCAATAACAGTATGAACTCATATATATACTCCTAGTTGTGTTCCTGAAGAGCCCAGAAGCAATGGCACTGTAGTATAGTAACAGTGGGCATGACTAGCCCCCGTAGCTTGCAACTCCTGATGTAATAATAGGTTCAGGCAAGAATAATCAATGGGTACTAAAACCATTACATAAAAAGTAATTGGGGACTCCTGGGTGGCTCAGTTGTTAAGCATCTGACTTCGGCTCAGGTCATGATCTTACAGTTCGTGAGTTTGAGTCCCACATCAAGTAAGCACAAGCCCCTCCTGGTTAAAACATGAGCCCAGGTGAGCCCTGCTCCTGTCTGTCTGTCTGTCTGTCTCTCTCTCTCTCTCTGCCTCTTGCTCACTTGTACCGTCTCTCTCTCTCTCTCTCTCTCAAAAAAGTCGATGACAAAAAATAACTTTAAAAAAAAGTAGTTGGGCAATAGGATATTCCTATAGAGGCAAAGTATGATTCCACATATCATTACTAATTTCAAAGAAAAAGATGTTCCTTTTGGTATTGGATATAGTGTATGCCTGTCCCCACAGATGCATTTGGCCCTGCCTGCTTCTCTCAGGACCCACTTGCCCTCCTGGGTAAAGAGGTCCCAATTATAGTATAAAACTCCAGCCTCCATCTTGTCAGCTCACCTCCTACAATCACAGACATTTTTGCCTTTGGCAAGACTGTTATTACACCTACCAGGTGCACAGAGGCTCCTACACCCAAGTCCAACACAGTGGGATCCACAGAAGCCCTGGCTTTCCCAGTGGTTGTGGGGAGGCATTGGCAGCACAGTTCAGAAGTACAGGGGTACTCGTACACTGTGGGCTTTGTGCCAGAGAAGGACCCCACCCAGATGCAGTGGTGCCACAGAGCACCTCCAAAAATGCCCCACACAACCAAGTGAGGCTGCTTACGAAATCCTGGCCAGCTTGGCAACAAACTGCATTGTATTCATTTTCCCTCCTGTTTTGGTCCCCCCCCTTTTTTTTTTTTCTCATTCACAGGACTGCACCTCTCATAAAGCATTAGCCTGTGAACTTTGCTGCAGTCTCTGTTTCCAGGCAGATAGCTTTCCATGGAGGTTTGGCAGTCAGTGTCTCAGCCAAGTAAGTCATCACTCTTAGCATCACCAGTAGTGGAAGAACCCAGTGTATGAAGATCCTCATGAGATGCCTCTGAAGTATTCCTGAAAAAAAAAAAAAAAAGAATTTAACCTAAACCTAATCAAGCCTCCAGACCTAACTTCCATTTTAAGGACAATATAGTCTTAAATGTAAAAGTTAAAGAATCCCATCTGGAAACAATCATACAAATGAAGACTGTGTGACTTCCTTTTTTTTTTTTTTTTAATGTTTGTTTATTTATTTTGAGAGGTGGGGGGGTGCAGGGGGGTGTGGGTCAGAGGAGGTCCTTGCTGTCAGCACAGAGCCCGAAAGGGGGTTTGATCTCAAGAACCATGAAATCATGACCTGAGCCAAGATCAAGAATCAGACACTCAACTGACTAAGCCTCCCAGGTGCCCCAGGAATGTGTGACTATATATATAAAGTTATCTGGCCTGGACTCTTCTTGAAAAGTCAACATCATAAGTCGAAACCAAACAGAAGTTAAGGTGGGAGGAGAGTTTCCAGATTAACCTCCAGATGGATTCCACAAACCTTGATTAGATCATGGGGGAATTGCATAGAAATCTTTAGGAGACAAGTGGAAAAATTTAACTATGGCTTTAATATTAGTTGTGATTATAGAATGATTATTAATTTTCTTAGGTGTGATAGTGGCATTATGGTTATATAGGAGATTGCCCTTGTTTTCAGGAGATTCATGCTGAAGTATTTAGAGATCATAATGTCATATTAATAACTTATTTTCAAAATTGGTGTGTTTTGGTATATGGGGAGGGGGGAGAGGAGGAGAAAAGGCAAATATGGTAAGACATTAACAATCATTTAATCTAGACGGAAGGCATTTGTGATTCTTTCGCGTGTTTTCAAGTTTTCATAATAAAAAGTAGGAAGATAAGTACCAAAAAACAAAAACAACAAACAAACAAAAACAGCCTAAGTAAAATTTAGGATATATTTGTATTTGAAGAAATGTTGTTGTTGTTTTTTAAGTTTATTTATTTTGAGAGAGAACACGAGTCAGGGAAAGGCAGAGAGAGAAGGAGAGAGAGAATCCCGTGGGGTCTAACAGAGGGCTGGATCTCATGACCTGAGCCAAAATCAAGAGTCAAATGCTTAACCTACTGAGCCACCCAGGCACCTCATTTGAAGAAATGTTTTAAACTATGTTTTATTTTCCTCAGTTTCAAGTAAGCAGCCAATACTTTATCAGGGACTAATTCATCTACCTCAAAATGGGTATTACCTAAATTGCTGTGCTTTTGAGAGCTTTTTAACTCTTGCATATTTCCAGCAGTTTCCCAAGTAGAAGAAATTCGATGCCAGTTCTGCACACCCAAATTCCTGGCAGATTAATCAGCAAGTAGTACAGAGAGCTGCTTTCTTTAAAAAGCTGTGTTTATCACTCAAACTGCGAATGCTGAGATGCTGAGGCACTGTGGAGAAATGATCCTTTAGAGGTAAAGTTTGATCTGGTAGATGGATCCATACTCTTTCCGTTTATTCCAAATCTTGTATAGGTTGCAGATTAGAATGGTAGCTTTTTCTACGGTTATATTGGCAACAAACTGGTTATTTAATATGGCAAAACATTTATTTCAGGCTTCTATTAGCACCACCTCTTGACTCACAGAGAAAATTCTTCCCAAAGTTTTTCAGTTAATGTGACTATTTGTTAAAACACAGTTTTCCATTATCATCATTCTCCCACACGCAACCCACCCTCCATTTCCAAGATGCTTCCAGATCAAGGGGTTCCCAGTCTGTTCTCACCATTCTAGTAGGCCCCAGGTCAGGCCATCTCCAGTGCTTCCATCCACAGTACGGCCCCAGGAAAGTGCTTCCCTTACATTATAGTCATGCTAACGAAGCTGACTAGGCAATGCCCTGGAATCCTAAAGGAGTTCCCCACAGGATTGGATGTCTCTGCCCTGTCCAGGGAGGAACTCTCTCGTACACACACAATTCTCACAGTACACTAACATGTGTTCTTCCCTTTAACAGTAGAACTCCTCAGTGAAGGCTGAACTCATGGCCACTGCATTAAGTTTCTGCTGCATTAAAGCGGCATAAAATCACCCCCAAAATCTCAGTGCCCACTCCTCAGATCCATTTATGTTCCTTGCATTTCAGCAGAGACAGCTCTGTTTCAGGCCATGAACAGATTGAGGGTTGGCTCCACTTGTATCATCCTCTGGACCAATAGCTTCCTGGGGCAGGCTCTTCTCATGCAGGGTGGCAGCCATGCTAGTGGGATGAGGAGAAACACAGAGGCCACTCATGGCCTTGGCTCAGAAGCAACATACTGTCATTTTTGCCCACATTTCCGTGGCCAAAGCCAAACATCAGTAGGGTTATGGAAGTACTCTATACCATGAGGAACCTTGCCAAGCGCTGGGAGGGGAAGGTCAATGGCAGGCAGATAATACAATCAACCTCAGCCTCCCTTGTAGCTTGGTGTGTCCTTGCAACTAAAGTCTGGCCTAAGGGATGTGAGAGGAAGCAATGTGTGCAACTTCCAGGCCTTGTACTTTTAAGGACTAGACACACCCTAACTTTCCCCTGCCCATCAGCTGAGGAAATGGTGGGTCTGTAGCAATCACCTGGCCCAGAGGCAGATGCCACAGCTGTCCCTCCAGTGTTAGCTCTGGACTGTTATATGTATGTCATTTACATTGGTGGATTTTTGCATTGCTATTATGGCTTCTGATCACCATGGCTAGTATAGCATCCATTTATTCACTCAGTGAGTATTTACTGACTGCCTTCTTTGTGACAGGCATTGCTCTGGGCCTGGGAGGAAGTATTAGTGAGCAGAAACAAAACTGGCCTTTCTGCACCTTGACTGTGGTGGTGGTCACACAAATCTGTATCTGTGATAAAATTGCAGAGAACTAAATAACACACATACATGAGTACAAGTAACACTGAGGAAATTTGTACAAGATCTTTAACTTGCACCAATATTGACATCCTAGTTGTGATACTACATTACAGTTTTGCAAAGAAACTAGGTAAAGGATCTCTGTATTCTTTTTGAAAAATGTTTATTTATTTATTTTGAGAGAGAGCGTGCGCATGAGTGAGCGCACATGAGCTAGGGAGGGACAGAGAGAGAGGGAGAGAGAATCCCAAGCCGTCTCCACATGTCCAGTGCAGAGCCCAAAGTGGGGCTTGAAACCACAAACCATGAGATCATGACCTGAGCTGAAGTCAAGAGCTGGAGCCTTGACTGGAATCCCATTAACAGAATTCCTGAGCCACCCAGGAATCCCATGGATCTCTGTATTCTTAACAACTGCTTGTGAATCTAATGATCTCAAAATAAGAAACAAAAAGACTAGGACTTTGGTCTCTTTGTGCTTATAGTCTAGAATGGTGTCAAGAGAAGATCCAGAGAGACTATCTTGGTATGAATATTTTATTGAGCCAGAAGCAAACTATTTGCAAAGAGGGATACTTCAAACCAAAAGTGGGTATAAGCTGGCTCCCAGCAGTTACAGCTCAATTTATAGAGCACAAGGAAATACATTTGTTTTCTACTGTGATTGGCTACTAGAAACTGATATTCTTCTTAGGGTAGAAGCACAGTATAAGAGTACTCAAGTGTAGCTGACTAGGAAGCTATAGGTTATGCTGATGTGAAGAAGGCTTAAGTTATATTTAAGGTCAGAGTCAGCATTTTGGAAAAATCAGGACAGTTTTATGTTTTGATTACATGACTAAGAATGTTTGGGCTAGAGGTATAGTCAAACTGTGGCCTCCACTTTGGTCTTTCTTTAACCATAGGAATCAAAAGATTAAAAAATCAAAAAGTCACTCATGACAACCTCTGCATGGCAGCAGCCTCACTTCAAATATCCAGATGACAACAGTGTCCTGAAGTCCGCAGAGCACAATTACATAAAAGGAACTCAGGGCCGAGCTGCTAGGCAGGAGTGCAAACTTTGGACTGTGTAGTGAGAGAGATATAAAGTTCTTTGTTCTTTAAGTAGGGTGTCCATGCTGACATTTATCATCCAAACTGAGACACCTGTGAAAATAATCACTGGCACAGCTTGTGTAAACAGATCAGTTGGTTCCTTTGTTTTAAAAATTTTTAATGTTTATTTATTTTTGAGAGAGAAGAAGGAGCATGAGTGGGGGTGAAGTAGAGAGAGGCAGACACAGAACCTGAAACAGGTTCCAGGCTCTGAGCACAGAGCCCAACGGGATGCAGGGCTCAAACTCGTAGCCCTGAGATCATGATCTGAGCCAGAGTCAGGACATTTAACCAGCTGAGTCACCCAGGCACCCCTGGTTGCTCTATTTTAAAAACACTGTATCATTGACCCTCTTAGTTTTAGCAACTGGGTTTCTTCTAACCAATACAGAGACTAATGGATGCTGCCTTTGTCAGCACCAAATAGCTTAAGAGAAGGGAAGCAATAAACCCCAAATCTCAGTGAGTTAATTGTACTTAAAAGACTTTTTCTTGGGGCACCTGGGTGGCTCAGTCAGTTACGTGTCTGACTTTGGCTCATGTCATAATCTCATGGTTCGAAAGTTCGAGCCCCGCGTCAGACTCTGCTGACCACTCAGAGCCTGGACCCTGCTTCAGATTCTGAGTCTCCCTCTCTCTCTGCCCCTCCCCTGGTCACGCTCTGTTTCTCTGTGTCTCTGTCTCTGTCTCTCTCTCAAAAATATTTTTTTAAAAAGGACATTTCTTGTTCATACAAAATTTAATATGGTGCTGGTGGTGCTCCTCTATCTTCTAGTCAACTCATTTTGAATATGAACTTTCCAGGTTGCTGGAACAGTAGATAAGAGAGCTAGAGGGTTATGGAAATTTTTGTGGGCCAGGAAGTACTTTACATCACACCATGCATATTCCATTGACCAGAACCCAATCACATTATCGCTCCTAACTGCAAAGGAAACTGGGAAAAGTAGTCCTCCTATAACCCCATGAGGAGAAACTCTGCCACAGACAGATGCATCATTACAGGCTGGGAGAGGACACTTGTCTAACCTCAGCATCCTTAGCTTAACTCCCTTACCCCTTGGTGTATGTGGCTGTGCCGTTCCCAGAGAAACCACTGAAGCTGCAGGAAAGCAGTTCAGAGCAGTCTATAGCAGTGAATCAACTTACTTTTTCTCTGGTTATTTTGGTTTGTAATCTA